CTAAATCTAAAACATTTATTTTTCTTTATTTTCAGAAACCAGAATGAAGACTTTAACGAGTTTCTTAGTTATTTTGCTTGCTGGTCTCTGCCACGCCGCTCCCAGCTTTAACCCAAATGACGATAGATTAATTGTTACTAATGACTTCTATATAAAAGATTTTATCAAGTACAAAGGGAAACATGACATTGTTAAATTACTACTACCTGTAAACTCACTAAATTTCGACGAAGATGACTCGTCCTCATCATCATCCTCAAGTGAAGAAACGGATTTCTATGTATTCTTTGTAGAAGCTGATGTGAATAATAATGGTGATCTTAATTATAAAGGCTTATACTCACTTTACCAAGGAAAAGCAAAGAAATTGCTAGATAATGGCAGAGATATGGCTGCTTCTGGTGACGACAGCAAATTAGTTTTCTTCGGAGCCTCAGACGGTATCTACGTGTACGATCAAAAACATAATAAAGCTAAAAAATACGGTACAGTCGATGATAGTATCATAGCTATTGCCAAAGAGAAAACTGGTGATATTATCTACATTTTAACTGAAGACTATATTGTATACAAAGTTTCTGAAAGTGGAACAAAGAAAGAGAAGTTAGATAACATTGTGAACGCAAAACAAATTGCTGTAGACTATTCTAACAATATTTTCTTCTTGTCCGAGGACAAGATACCGTATGTACGTACAAGTAAAGGTGTAAAAAAAATACAGGGACTTCCTGAAAATCCATCAAGTGTGGACTTAGTAAGACCACTATTCATCATGGATGATGGTGTACTATTAGTGCAAGATACAATCACGTACGCCCTATACGCTAATGGAACAAGTGAAATCCTCGGATTTGACTTTGAACCCAACGCAAAACCAACCGCTTACGCACCAGGAGCAACACTGATACAATACTACGCATACGATAAGAAAATTTATGAATTTAATATTTTGGCATTGCTTATATCCAGCCTTTTGGAAGAGCTAAACAATTACCTCAGTGACAAAGCTGACAATATTCGTTCACTATCTACAAAATCAAAATTTAATATCAGCAATTAAAATAATGTTATCGTTACATAAAATTTACTAAACGTTATTTTTTTATTTATTTATTAATTAACATAAGACTAGATAAGACATTTATTATGAACACAATGAAACTTAAGAGTTCATATTATAGTCTATATAAAAGAGCCTAAAAGCCAATTTTATTTTTATTATTTACAAACGCTTTGTTATTATTACAAAGTACAGCTCAAAGGAATGAATAAAATGCTGATAAAAGTACTTTCATGCTATACATTTTATTATAATCACCTTTTAAGGAATCTCTTTACCATAATTAGATATCAATTACCGTTCGTGTAAATCTCATAACCGTTTCTTAGAAAAAAATAAAAGCCAATATCTTCAATGCTACAGCCTACACGTCACATCACAGTCCCTTCATCATATTTAGTTTATTTTGATTATATATTTTAGAAAAACATAATAAAGAACAACATCAGGCCTAACATTTGTTTTTCTTCTATACATATAATAAAAGTGTAAGTGATCGCTGTCTGTACATGGAATATATTCGATAAAAACTATATAAATGATTTTTAGAATTTTTGTCGGTTTGTCTGTGCGTTTGTGCACGCTAATCTCAGTAACGACTTAACCGATTTGGATGCGGTTTTCACTACTACAATAATTGTGGTAAGCTTCACAAGCTTTAGTATTTCTTTAATTTCAATCGGTTCATAAATAAAAAATGTACGTCAATTTAAAGAATCACCTAAGGACGAACGCGAGCGGAGCGAGGGTGAGTCGCTAGTTTTCAATATGTCTGAATATCCACGAAATGAAATATTCACCCAATTAAAGTATTGACTATTATTGTCAAAACACTTTTGCCATTATAATAATAATTACTTAATGCCTCTGAAATCCTGAGGGTGTTCCTAAAAAAATAGGCATCAGTTCTCGAGAAGAAAGAGAAGACTCACTAGTTCGCTAGTTACCTTCATTAGATAAGGGCCGATTTTATCTACACATATAGGTATATATTTATTCTATATCCCTTATAAGTCAGTCAAGTTAGTCTAATTCATCATTACCATAAATAAATTCATCAAAACCATATTTGTAATGCTTTATTAACCAGACATTTTTCTGCCTTAGATATTCTCTAATGTTGTTGTATTCAATCCTTTTTTTAACCTCCCACTGCTAGGCACGGGCCTCCCTTCAGCACGAGGGAAAACCAGGAGATAGTCCGCCACGCTGGCCAAGTGCGGGATAACGGACTTCACATGTCTTTCAAAACTTGCTAGGTTCTCTCAGACATGCAGGTTTCCCCACGATGTTTTCCTTCACCGCTAAGACAAGTGATAATCATGTTGGAAATGATTCGCGCATGAAAATATCAGAGGTGCGAGACCCGGGAAATGAACTTGCTTCATTCAGTTTCCCAAGCGAGCGCGTGACCATTGGGCTACCTACTACTACCTACTACTGCCTTATTAATATGAATATTCTCAAAGCCACTAAATAATTAAGGGACGACAAATGGACTTGAGCGAAACAAAAAATATTCTCATCAATCTTAAAGCAAATCAGTCAAACTTATCATACTCAGGTACACAGGTGTACCAAAAGTTTTTCATTTAAATTGGGATTGGTTTCCAACCAAGATGAAGATTCTATAATTCCAAATAAAACTACTATTTTAATGCTAATGACCAAACGTCTACTTCACGGAATAGAAATAAGTAATTATTTAACATGTTTTGAGCGTTGAAGAGTCCATTAACGATAATGATAAGAGTAATAATATCAATAGGTATGTATATAATGTAAACTAACTTGTCATATCCATCATTCTGCAATATTTCGTCGACGGGTAAGTTGGATCATAATTTTTAATTTATTCCTCAAAAAATCACTTAGGACGTTTTTGCTTTCTGCTGCTGTTCAATATTGAAAATATTATTCATGAATATTGAAAGCGCTTTTTAATTTTTGTTTATTAATCTTTAAAAAATATTTTCAAAATAAATTAAATAAACATTTTTTTATTATTTATATGTTATTTTTTATTTTAATGATTGTTTAAATATTGAAATTTATTCCTGCGTCCCTTTTTTCATTGAAATGTAATGTATAAAGTCCACATCATCGAAGATATACATTAAAATATTTATTTTTTCATTTATATAATAATGTGTAAAACTATAAAATAAACTTTAAATTCATATGATAATTAAGCTAATTTCAAGTTTGTACGTTGAATATTTAGTATACTTATTTATTATTAGGTAAAATATAAAAAAAAAAACCAGTAAATTGGAGGTTTTGTTATGTAGCTGTGTTTTGTTTTTATTTCATTGCAGTTTGATTAAAAAGTTTTATTTCTATTATTTTCATAGGAGTGTAGAAAATATTCGGTTGGCAATTCTAATAATAAATGGTGAATAATTGAATTAAATATTATTAATACAAAAAATTGAATCTAGTGGATAACCTACAAAATTTTACTAAACGATGGTTTACTTTACGTAGACAAAATGGATAGACCTGTTTCTGGAGTATGGAAATATATAAAAAAAATACAGGATAAGGAATCAGTACAATGTTCAAAATGCCCAAAAAAATTATCTTATAAAGGCTTTTCTCAACAAGTGTCTTATTAAAATATTTAAATAAAAATTAAAAAGTCATTTAAGTTTTTAATTAGATTTTGATTGTACTATAAGTTAACGAGACTTATTGACATACTTCACTCTTTCGTAATAAAATAAAGCATAATTATAAAAAATTGACTCCTTTTGTGCAAAAATTGCAAATACCCGGGTACCCGGGTATACCCGGGTATATGAAAAAATAATAAGGTATTAAAAAAAGTCAGGTGCGCAAAAACCCTAATGTGTAGTACATCATCCCGCATTTATATCATGTAACAATGTATCATCATACCAAGTTTCATCATATATTTCATCTATTCAGTGGTTTTCACGCGATGCGATCCCAGACAAACAGACAAAAATTCTTAAAACTATAAATTTGGCCTCTGTATCGATAATAATATTTCAATAAGATTTTCCAAAAAATATTTAATGTACAGATTCGACACAGTTACAATTTTATTATATGTATAGATAGTCTTATCTATTCCATACTAACCGTTAAAACGTACCTAGAGACGAACCCGAGGGAAGCGAGGGCGAGTCGCTAGTCTATACATATAACGTTTGCACGGGCTAATCTCTGAAACTGTTGGACCGATCTAAATGAAATTTTGCATGGTGGTACATTATATCCCCGGTCAACATTTTAGATGCTTTTCAATTTTCATCCCGGAAAATAAACAGTTCCCGTGGGATAGTTAAGAAACCATAGTAACTTATAGCTGGTACACAAAAACTGCTGATTGGATATTAATGAAACTTTACAATAAATATGTTACTTTTTATCCCGGAAAAATGTACGGTTCCCGTGGGATAAATATGTTTTTGTTTGTATAAAATAAATTGACAACTTAAACCCGGAACAATTTATATATATTTTTTTATAATAGCGAAAAGATCGCTCATACTTTGAATAGAATAAATTATTAATATTTTAAATATTATCACTATCATATACCTAATATTAGCCAGTTACTTGTTATCTTTATTTCTTATCATCAGTAACATTTGACTTGACTTTTGATTATTTACTTAACGAAAATATATGTCTGTAAGCAAGAGTTGTCCATTACTAGGTTCCCCTTGAAATATAACAATCAATACAACCGTGAAACTCGCTTTGCACTTAAATGATTTTTTTCATTTTGAAATAAGAAATGAATTATGTAAATATTGAAAAAATATAGCATAATATGATAAGTTTTTCAAAATCAACCCAGATCTTTTTGAAAGATGCACGCATTAACAACTAAACTGATTCAATGTGCAACAGCATCTATGGAGAAGTATAGCTATAGAATTATTTTTCTTTATTTTCAGAAGCCAGAATGAAGACTTTAACGAGTTTCTTAGTTATTTTGCTTGCTGGTCTCTACCACGCCGCTCCCAGTTTTAACCCAAATGATGATAGATTAATTGTTACTAAGGATTTCTATATAAAAGATTTTATCAAGTACAAAGGAAAGCATGACATTGTCAAATTACTTTTACCCTTAAATTCACTCAATTTCGAGGAAGATGACTCGTCCTCATCATCATCCTCAAGTGAAGAAACGGATTTCTATGTATTCTTTGTAGAAGCTGATGTGAACAATAATGGTGATCTTAATTATAAAGGCTTATACTCACTTTACCAAGGAAAAGCAAAGAAATTGCTAGATAATGGCAGAGATATGGCTGCTTCTGGTGACGACAGCAAGTTAGTTTTCTTCGGAGCCTCAGACGGTATCTACGTATACGATCAAAAACATAATAAAGCTAAAAAATACGGTACAGTCGATGATAGTATCATAGCTATTGCCAAAGAGAAAACTGGTGATGTTATGTACATTTTAACTGAAGACTATATTGTATACAAAGTTTCTGAAAGTGGAACGAAGAAAGAGAAGCTAGACAATATTGTGAACGCAAAACAAATTGCTGTAGACTATTCTGATAATCTTTTCTTCTTTTCCGACGATAAGATACCGTATGTACGTACAAGTAATGGTGTAAAAAAAATACAGGGACTTCCTGAAAATCCATCAAGTGTGGACTTAGTAAGACCACCATTCATCATGGACGATGGTGTACTTTTAGTGCAAGATACAATCACGTACGCCCTATACCCCAATGGAACAAGTGAAAGCATTGGATTTGAATTTAAACCCAAAGCCTTACCGACTGCTTACGCACCAGAAGCAGCACTGATACAATACTACGCATACGATAAGAAAATTTATGAATTTAATATTATGGAATTAATTCTTGGATCCGTTTTGGAAGAGCTAAACAATTACCTTAGCGACAAAGCTGACAATATTCGTACTCTATCTAAAAAAAGAGTCAATAACCATCGCCATTAAAATAAATACAAAATGTTATCGATAAATAAAATTTACTAAACGTTGTTGATTTTTTTATTTATTTATTAATTAACATAAGACTAGATATTTATTTAAGATATTTATTATGAACACAATGAATCATAAGAGAATTCAAATCTTCGTTAATGGTAGCTTTTAATGAGGTTAAAACATTTTAGAGTTCCTTTTTTTATTAGTTTTATAAGATTAGTCAATATTTTTATTAGTCTATACAAAAGACCTCTGAAAGCCAATTTTGTGTATGAAATTTTTTAAGATACATTAAACAATATAAGATCCAAAATTTTCAAAAAATGCCAAACAAGTTTATAAAGCTCTTTAACTTTTATTTGCACCGTTTTCGATTAATCGGAAAACCTCTCTTGCATTTTAATCACAGAGGCTGGAGACATTATTTCTTTTCGTTAGCCTCTGTCAGTTAGAATAAACCAAAAAAATCAGTATTTTTATTAAAATTTCAATTGATTTTTGACATTTTTGCTTTAATATCAAATACTTGCATTTTTTTAATAATAAAAAAAAAATAGTGTGTCATCCTATATGGATTAAAAAAACAATCGTATTTAAGAAAATAAGTTAACTATGATGTTAATATGCTTTGCTTTTGTTATACTTTATATGCTGCTTCTTATTGATAACCGAGTATTGAACCCCAATCCTTATAAAAACCATCTCTAGCTGTATCTATGATGGACATAACAATTTTAGTAAGATCGATGGGAAAATTAGAAAATCCAAACATTGATTTTAACATAACTTCCATAACGTTAAATTCATATATTTTTCCATCTAATGCGGCCACCAGGTACAATGCCGTATCTATACTGTAAGCTGTAGGTGCTTCTTTAAGTGTGAAATCTTTTTTCTCACTCGTACCATTCGAATGTAACATGTACAAATTATTATCGCCCAAAAACGGCACACAGTTCTCCATAATAAAAGCAGGTCTCAAAAGCTTAACATCATTAAAATCTTCAGAAACACTTGGTGTATATGTTAGTAAATTTCCATCAGATTTAACTATACGAGGTAAACCATCATCACATGAAATAAAATATATAATATCAGACGTATCCAAAACGAATTCTGTGGCGCAAGTGACTGCTTTCACTTTGCTTCGAGAAGTGCCATTATTTTCAAGTTTATATAAAATATTGCTTGAAGTCAAATAATAAATAATACCGTTGGTAGCTTTCTGTATCTGAATTATATCGTCGCGAAATTTCCCAAATTTCTTCGCTGATAACGTATCTGGATCATATTTGTAAACACCGTCCTTTGCACCAAAGTAAACCACCATATCAGTACTATAATCTGATGTAGAATCTCGACCTCCCTCTAAAATTTCATATGCTGCCAATTCTTCTAGCACATAAATACAGCTCCCTCCTTCCAGTTTTGGATCGGATATAGTAAAGAATATTGATGGTATATCTGAAATTCGTTCGTGGATATACGAATTGCCTGCAGGGACCAATAATTTAGTAATATTATGTTTTGAGGAAAAAATTATTTGCTCTGTTCGGAACATTGTTTTGTTTGAGTCATCGAATGTTTTGAACTTAGTAAGCGCTAATGATGAATAGCCTAGCAGAATCAAAAAGTAGAGTTGATCCATTGTATCTGAAACAAAATAAATATATTAGTATGTTATTTAGTTTCACGGTATACAAGCATAAGACCGACAATTTAATATTATGGAATAAGAACTAACAAGAATGATTGAAAGGAGCTAGATACTTTAGATACTATAGTAGGTCATTAAGTAGGCTCCTTCTTTTTTGAAGAGAGCTCAAAATAGTCGATAATCTAAGAAAATTTAAATTATGGTGTAACTAAGTAGTTTTTTTGTTTATAATAGACAAGTGGTCCACTATCAGGTGCCGTCCTATTGCCATCGCTCGCGCGATGATACGTCTGACGAAAATGACCGTGCGACTGTGTGTTCAAACATACTGATATTTAATGAATGTCCTATTGAAGGTCGCGCGATCATTCTTTTCGAAATAATATTTCGTCAATTCGTGAGTATGATCGCATCGCTCCAAAACAGGACACACGATTTCTTATTTCGAGCGATTTCATCGCACGATGAAATCGCATCGCATCATCGCGCGAGTGATGACAATAGGTCGGCGCCTCTCAGAGCTCTCAGAGAGGACAACATACTTTAATTTAATTCACAAATATTGAATGTAATTTTTTTAAAGTAATCAAAATTGATAATCACTATAGATAAGCCGAAACAAACACATACTTAGCGTGGCGAGGGATATTAAGTAATTTATAATATGTAGCGATAGATACATATTATAGCAATCACAGATATTCATCAGCACTACGGTCAAAGCTTCATATAACTACATAACTTGCCCTGATTTCAAGGTTGGCATCACACATACAATGTGACAAACAATAAAAAATATATTTATATTTTAATATACGGTGCTAAGTAAATTCAACCTTGAAGCATTCTATGAGATATATTTTTTACCCGACTGCGGCGAAGCTCAAAATAGGGTTTTGTGTTTAACCTGTATATTTGTATATACATATGTATGTCCAATCCTATGTTCCCTAGTGATTATTAAACGGCTTAACCGATTTTGATGATTCATACATAGTTGGTTTCCTGTTAATAACGCGAGTGTCATAGGTTATACCTACCTATAGATATCATTAAAAATAAAGATGGCGGATCTTAATCAAGTGGGGTATCAACTACAGGTTTTTTTAAAATGCGATTACAAAAATATAAACAAGCTATATGTTTAAAATTAATTTACTTAGTAAAAGTAAAAGGAGCATAGTTTTATGCAATGATTTTGGACTTTTACCAGAAAGACTTAGCAAATCTTAAGAAAATCTCATCACTGGAAATCTTGCAATTTACCGAAGTTAGAGGTTTTACTGTAACTGTGTACATATGTTGATACATTTGAAATTGTCTATACACAATCGTGTTATTATGAAGTAACAACTTGATAACCTCAGTCTCATATATTTTATTCGAATTTACTTAAAAATGATAAGTTTAATTATTTCTTTACATAATCACGAAACTTTAGGTTATCGTGTACAGTTTAAGAGAAAGAAACAATTTTTATGGGTCAAGCAAACTTTCAGTACTAATTTGTATTACTCCGACGAAAAGTAACAAAAAGCCACCAAAAAATAACATTTGTTTTGACTATGGTATCATACACCATCTTTATATATATAATTCTTCTGTGAGTGTGTATGTCACTGAACTTCTCTCAAACGACTGGACCGATTTTGATGAAATTTTTTGTGTGTGTTCAAGGGGATCTGGGAATGGTTTAGATTCACAATTTGAATAATAATTTTCATCAAAAAAATTATTAAATAAGTTTGAAATTTTCAAATTAAAGACGTGTAGACAGGACAACGTCTGTCGGGTCCGCTAGTATATATATAAAACCGAATCCCTATTTCCCTTGGTCACGCCATCACGCGTGAACGGCTGGACCGATTTAACAAAAAAATTTTTGTTCTATTTGTTATTGTCAGGAGAAGGTTTTTATGAAAGAAAAAAATTAAAAAATTGCGCGAAAAATTATAAAATTTAAGAATACTTATTTAATAACAACCATATTAAAATTTATATGGCTAACCCTGGATAATAACTATTTATATATATATATATATATATTCAAAACGAACCCGAGCGAAGCGAGGGTGAGTCGCTAGTATTATATATATATATATATATATATATATATATATATATATATATATATATATACATATATATATATATACATATATATTAAATTATATTGTGTGTCGTGTCCGAACATATTATATCAGCTCAATATGGAATAACGAATTAGAAATCACAATTATAATATGTAAATGTTTTAATATAGTTTAAAATCGCTTCACTTATCGAGTTATAAGCGTTATTTCTCGATTTGAATCTTTGTATGTAATTACAAATGTGAAAGTTTGGATGTGTAGTTGTTTGGCTTGATGTTTTTTACTCGATCACGCCAGACTGGCAGAACGGATCTGGATGAAAGGCACAGAGATAGATTATAGTCTGGAATAGTCCTTAGGCTACTTTTTATCCCGGAAAAATGTACGGTTCTCGTGGGATAGATTTGTTTTTGTTCTTTGGTGAGTCGCTAGTTTGGTTATAAACTGATTACATTACGTACATTGCACATTAGATGATAGTGGAATTCTTCAATGACCACCTTCGAGTTTGTGCTCGTTGTTTTTGTGTTCGTGCTTCGTGTGGCACCGACTTCGAAAATATCTGATTAGGTATCTGTTCTAAATGAAAACCTCCTTTTAGTTATTTTTTTCATTTTAGTGCCTGGAGGTCGGTTTTTTTTTAGTTTTTATATTACTGTATTGCCGCATGAATAAGTCTATCCATGGTTATAGTAAAATCTGGCAATACTTTATAAAAAGCTATGTGCAAGAATCGAACACCCAATTCTCAAAAAGAGCTAAAGTAGTACGTCAGCACAGTTAATACACTAATATTAATATTTTTCAACATTTTCTAGAACATTTGACATTTTATGTAAAATTATCTTTACGCGGATTTTTCGATAATATTATTTAGTTTATCCTTCTTCACAAGCAACGGAAAATCATTAATAATTTTTTTTAGATAGTTTATAAATTTAAAAGTGGGAGAGGACACTTTGTTCCTGTACATTTTATTGATGTTCTCCCGACCGATTCCGGCCACGGCGACCAATCTCATTGAAACTAGCCAACTGCGCAGGAGATATTATAGTGCACAAGTGTACGCGCAGACACAACGTGCACTCTCTATTCCTGTCACTCTCATACTCCGGTGGGACGACCACTCGACACGACTGGTGAGAGTTAAGGCGCAGGACCGACGGTTTTACGTGCTCTCCGAGGCACGGGGGTGAAACACCGCCAACTTCCCAACTTCGGGCTGTTACTGAGGCTTACTTACAGAAAGACTCAATAACTAAACTTGCCCCGACCCAGGACTCGAACCCAGGACCTTCGGGTGTGCAGTCGTACATGCTAGCCACTACACCACCGAGGCAGTTCACATTTTATATATATACAAAATTACAAAGTGTCCTTTTTTTGAACGTTAGGAACTGGGGGGTGGATTAGCCATGTATCCTATCCCAACCTATCCTACCCCTGGGATATAAAAAGTGAGCAAGCAAATTCTTATTCTAATTTATTTATCATTTTTATTCGAAATCATTAAATAGACATGCAATTTATTGAATTATATAATCTAATTATCCAACATTATACACGATAAGTGCAGTAAAGCGTTAAATGTATACGCATTCAATCGTTTTCATTATACCTACTAAGACATTTACGAGTATTTCTACGTAACAAAAAATATTTTATTTTTGTCATTTCTCTTGACGCGGCGCGTATATTTTTAGCTCAATTTGTCAAAAATGGACGACTTAAAACCTGGTTACAACTTAATAGTACAAAATATATTAGCTTTATATTTTATCTCTTTCTATATCAGAGACTTTTGTCCTAAAATACCCTAGATATTCTATACAGATAAATAAAATTAAAGTACCTACGAGTATTTGTAATGTCAAAATAACAGTTTTTTACTAAATGCATATTAAATTTAATTAAATTAAATGCATATTAAATTAAATTAAAAAAATTTTGTCTGTCTCTACCTGTCTGTCTGTTTGTCTGTCCGTCTGTTTGCTCCGGCTAATCTCCGAAACGGCTGGACGGATTTTGACGGGACTTTCACTGGCAGATAGCTGATGTTATAAGGAGTAACTTAGAATACTTTTATTTTAGAAAAAAAATAGGGTTTCGCTCAAAAAAATTGAAACGTACCTAGGGACGCACTCGAGCAAAGGAAGGGTAGGTCGCTAGTACAAAATATATCTGTGTAAAACTGTGTACAAAATATGTCTGGTGTATAATTTTATATTATTTTATTTTTCTTATCTTTATAAATTGTAAATTTGTTTAAACACCACGTTTAGATAAGTGAAGTGTAAGACGCCGAGCATTATGACGACTCAATAAAAATGGTCTTCACGAGAATATAGGCCATTCAGGATCTAGAGAGCTAGCTGGTGCTCTTTGAGAGATGCTTTCATTTAACAGTGGATGGCGAAGAGCTTTATGTATAGAAACAGACAGATAAATAAATAAATGCATTTTGTATATATTTCAGGATACCTTATTATTATTTTTATTTATAATTATTCTTCTGTAAAGGCAATGGTGGCCATGTGGATACTCGCTTGGAAAACAACTGAAAAGGGCTCAAATATCTGGTATCACACCTCTGAGATTGTCACGTGCTAATCATTTACAACATGATTACCATCCGACGCACGGTAATAGAAACAATAAACCTACATGTCTAATACTTTCTTATTTAAACATCCGGTAGATATGTAAAGCCGCATTTACCCACTCTGCTGTGTGGTGAAGTTTGGTCTGGTCTCCTTCGCATCGATAGGTTATTGATTATGGTGTAAGAGACTTGAATTGTTTAAAAATATATAGTAAAAATTGCTTTTAACAATAATTTTAAGCATTAAGTGAAAATAATAAAGAAATAGCCGTCAAAAATGACGTCTTAGATAATGGATACGTTCGAGACATTTCCTTCTTCCTACTAGAACTTATATATAACCAAACACTACTGTAGCGATTAAACAAACAAACGTACATATTACTAAAAACAATATTATATATAAGCAATATTTTTACACTTGTCAGTGTTTTTGTCCTACTTTGATATAAGGGTGATGAACTTTGAGGATATTTTAAATGATTTATTTGTTGTTATAATTCAGTAGTGGTTTAGACGTGGTTATTGCAAGCGCTGTATTAACATAGGTATGTTTTATTATCGTTATTTTTTAAAGAAGTATTTTATTTATTGTTAAGAACAAAGTGACAAGGCAGCAAAGTGAGTGATAAACTCTGAACGCGGACACATTATATACCTAAATATAAATATGTTGGGACATTCTTATAATTTTTTTTCTTATTGTTCATATTACGACTACGTTTTTGATCACATTGACGACACGTTTGGCTCAGTTTGTAGTGACCCTACTTGTTATGCCAACGGTCGCGGGTTCGAGTCCCGCTGGGGGCATTCATTTGTGTGATGAGCGCGAATGTTTGAACTCCAGTCATGGCTGTTTATATTTATAATATCTATGTAGTTATATATGTGTAGTATATCAACTATCTGGTATCCATAACACAAGCCTCGTAGCTTACCATGAACTAGATGGTGCTGTGTCGTGTCCCAACATATTTATTATTATTTATTGTTCCTATTGTCATATAAGATTGTTAGAGAACATAATAAAAAAAACAGAAGAAATAGAACTAAAGATTTGATTTATTAATAAAAGAAATGAGAAAAAGTAGTTATTATAACTTTGTGTTACTCATTTTTTGCTTGTTTATCTAAACACTGATAAGACTATCTGAAACAGTATATATAAAGCTATGCTTTATTTGTTCCAGAAAATGCTTCCATTAATACTACTACTTGCTGTACCGTCAGTCTACACTGAAAATTTTTCATACATTTATAATGGAGTTAAATATTCAAAACAATCTATATTATCTATAAAAGGACTTCCCACAAATCTAGTCGCCAATCCAAATACTGAAGACATATTATTTACTTTAATTGATATAGAAACACTACAAAACGATGACGTACAGACGAAAATGGATCAATATATATTAAAAAATAATGAACCCATCAAAATTGATAATGTGAATGGTCAAGCGGCTGCAGTAGATATTAAACATAATAGAGTATACATAGCAAGTGACCGTGGACTTAACACATTAAATAATACGAACAAAGCCAATTTTATAGCACTATTGAACGAAGACATAACACAGCTGTTCAAACCTCAAAATAATGGAAAAATATATGCAGTGATATATCCTGACAGTGAAGTATATGAAGTAGACTTGGAGAAGAATGAGAAAGTGAAAGTGGGCATACCTTGTGCCTTCATGCTAGCTGTAGATAATAAAGGAAATATTTTTTACGAATGTGATTCAAAATATGTTAAGGTTTTGTTAAAAGATTTCCAAGAGCCTATTGAATTTGTTGGTATCCCGAAAAATTCGGCTCGAGCGTTAGCAGTGGATAAAAACGATAGGGTTATTTTGGCTGCTAACGATGGCTTATATTGGTTGAAACCGAATTCAGTGATACCTGAAAAGTTGATGAATTTAGACTTCGTGCCTTCCGGCATCGCTTTCTTGGATGATAGGTTTTATTTATCTACAAATGGAATTATATATGAATTTGAAATTTCTGAATCTTAAGTTCAAAAATGAAATGATAACAAAACAGTTTTTAATCGGAAATTTAAAAGAGCTTGTTAGAGAGCTGTTCAGTTTTTTAAAGACTTTGAAGATTGCAATAATATTTACGTACATTAAATACAAATTGTAATATATATTATATTAATGGTTTGAACTATTAGTTTTATGTTTTTAGTATTAAGTACTTGTGTATTGTTGAGAAATATTAGCGATGTAGATGTAGAGCAACGCTCGTGTACTTTTGTGATATCTTGAATAGATCAAACTGTAAATGAACAGTGGAATGCGAATAAATTATCTGTAACGATTGAATTGTAGCTTTATTTTATTGTTGTTATGTGAACATTTTAGTCGCATGTTTTGATTTAAATCCAATTTACTTTATCCAAGTGTACACTCTGTTATATTTTAAGAGACGAGGCGAATTAATTTTTGTAGTTTGTACTAAGGATTTCTTAACAGAAAATCTCAATGCTTGGCTTGACTTTGGACTCGAACCTAGGTCCCCCGGATCTGCAACCTCCATAGTACATGCTTAGTACTAAACCAACGAGGCAATTATACAGGTTCAAGCAATGTTATAACGGAGCAACAAATCCATTGTGATTTTTGCATATACTTTATAGGAGAGTGACTTAAGCTATATAATGAAAATTATTTAAAGGATACATAATTAAATAAAAATCTTTATGTGTTAGTTATTAAAACTATATAAATATATTAAATTCTTACCTTTGCTAACTCACAGACGTCCTGAAGGCCTACTTTAGAACTAACGCGTAATCTAAACTACTGTACATCGAAGCCCTTTTGTTGATTTTTAAATTCTACTAACAGTAATTCTTACATCATTCTTTTCTATTAGATCTAAAACAATATGTACATGGTGTTCTAATAATATTCATTCAATTTATACCTGACTGTTAATATAAAAATATAATGTATAAACTAAAAATATTATTTGAATGATATAATTAAGTAGACATGTATACCTGATTAGGATCTTTTTGAGTTAAAAAAGAACTAAATTTATTTACAAAGTTAGATTCATCAAGTTTTACTTTCTTGCAGTATGAATGCATACGCCCTTTTTATCCGACTGCGCGACGCAAAGGAGGGTAATGTCTATGTATGTGTGTATGTATGTGGAAGATCTCTTACAAGGTAGGGTAGATCAATATTAAGGAGTAGGCATCTTTATGTTGAAATAATAACGATGAGAGTAATATTTTGTGGTTAAAAGTATGAAAGAAAGTAAGTAAGAAGAAGTCTGTCATGAGTATATTGTGTAATTAATACCTGATTGAAATTTTATGAAGGCTGAAATATTGTTTGCTTGACTATAATTTATGTATATGACAGATGAGGATTTAGTTACCTTTTTTCTGCTTGTGTGAAACCTTATTTTTTAAAACCATTATGTTATTTATTCTACTTATTATTACTTTTAAAGTTATTTTCAATTTAGAGCAGTGTCTCGAAAAAATTTCATGATGGCGTCTCGACCCCGCTCGAGATATTCTTTCGAGATACGTGGTTTAGTAAATTTGGTTGATCTTGGTGGATCACAGAGAGCTTGTTTTGATATTTTAGTTGGAAGTCGATGATCGACGTCCCAGAACCCGCTAGCTCTAAATCGTTAGAATTATCGTTTCAAGTTTGTAACATTGTGATTTCCCTGATTAAATTGTATATTGAGCATTGAATACTTTATTATTTGAGCCCTGACAACGCCCACAAGATGAGTAACCAATAAAGATGATGTTCGTAGTATATGGATAACACGACATATAGAAGTTTTTCGTTTCATCTTTTTAATTTTTTCTTAATATTTTATATACATAACAAATTAAACTCGCATTATCGATTTTCAATAATAAACTCAAATGAAATTTGGTTCAAATGAAAATTATTTTATTGTTCACATATCTTTATATAAAAAATCTTACTCTTTCCACGACACCCTCAATATATATGCTGTCATACGACGTATGTTTACAAACGGACAGACATCTGACACAATAGTTATGTTTTATAAAGACTCTGTGAAGCTCAGTTCATTACTAATCTTCTTGAGAGTGCGCTTTAATACTTTCAGGTAAAATATTGTTCTAGAATTTGTAATCTTAGTGAAAATTGAAAAAAAAGGTTAATTTTAGATATGTTCTATTAGATATTACGTTACGTGACGAAAGTTGCAGAAGAAATTACGAAGTGGAATATTTTTATAGTGAATTATATTTAATGAAGTATAGCTGAGTATTTCTGCATTAAAAAGTGTAAGAATTAATGTAGTAGTGGGAATTAAATATTAAGTCCTTACAGATTTTACCTGACTTGCAATCTACACGTGAGATGTTACAGAACAATATGTGTGTGCGCAGAAAAATGTACACAGAGTAATATTTTCTTAGATTTACGCGAATATTAGACATTTTAAATAAAACTATCTTTTCGGATACACTCTACACAGAGTACACTATTCTTTTCACGGTACAAGACTAGTGAGATATCAGGCCCAGGACCGACGGCTTTAGTTAACTTAGTCAACTTTTCAACTCTCTTCTACTAATAAGGTTTTTAATAGAAAATCTCAATTCGCGACGTAGAATTCGATCCCAGGACCTCTGAATCTACATATGTACAGCCAATAAACTAGACTAAATTATAAGACAATTACAAAAAATGCAAATACAGGATATGACGTAAAATTTATGCTTAATAAGCCTTTCTAATTTCTAATTTCTTAATAAATAATTTAATTTACCAAAAACTAAAATACTATAACAAAATATAACTTCCTTCCTCCTGAGCAACCTTTTATATCACTAAAAAAGTTTTACAAAAGAAACCAAACCACCAATCATGTGCAACATATTTAACTAATATTAATAATTTTTCAGACCAACGCCTGTCATGCATCAGCCATGCTTCGAGTAACAACAGCCATTGCTCTTCTAATTGCCTCACAAACTTGCGCAGATAAATGCGACAAGACTAAAATTGGCACTGATTTCTACAAACGACAACTTATTGCCACTATCGACGGCTACCCTACAGGACTTGCTGTGGACCCACGGACTGAACACATCTTCTTCATCCTTCATAAGAAAAATTACACCAAAGGCCTTCATCTCTTGAAACATGGATCATTGGGAGTCAAGGAGATAACGCTTTCTGACGACATCGTAGCCCAGTGTGTAGGAATAGATCGCGATAACATATATTTTGGTACTAATCAAGGACTTATTGTGTACGACTACAACCATGTAACAGAACGTGCGATAGGAGATGATGACGTAAAAAGCATCTTCATAGATAAAAACAACGAAATGCTTATATCTATTGGAACTAATAGAGAGATTTTCAAATTTGTTAATGGGTCAGCTGCTGTTAAACGATTCGACAAAATACCAAAAGCATACAACTTTGTTTTAGATACTAAAGGCAATGTTTTCTACGAGTATATGGATGGGAAATTGTATTTTTTATCCAATGACTTGTTCGAACCTGTTCAATATAAGGGATTTAGCCGTGAGCTCAAATATGTGTTAAAGTTAAATAATAATGATGAAGCAATCGTAGCAGTAAAGGGATCTCTTTATAAGTTAACTACTGAAAGTATTTTGCCAATTAAAATTGGTCATTTGGGATTCAGAATTACGGGTATGGAGTTCGATGCACGAAATAATATAATTGTAGGAACTAAAGGTAAAATATATAGATATAAGCCGCTTGATGGTAACGATCCTTGTCCGTCTGAAGATTACTTTATGAGTAGTATTTAACTGTTATTGGATTTTGACTAAAATGAATTTTATTATTAAATTGACATAAGAATGGGTTTTCTAATATTCGTTGTTTTATTTATTTAATTATTATTTTACTCATAAACAAACAAGCTTTCTGTAAGCAGAATTTCTTTAGTCACTAAAACACACTAGCGTACCTGGTTAGAAGACATCCTGACACCTGACCTAGTGACGTTGAAAATATAAGCACACATAAAATATTCGGTGAGTGATAATATATAAAATATTCGGGGGTGAGTCGCTAGTTATAAATAAGGTAACTTAATAGTTAACCTAAATAAAAAGAAAATGATTTAACTAAAAGGATTTTTGTTAAAACACTTAACAGAAATAGATAAGTCCCTAAAATTATAACCAGATGGGTCCTTATCAGCGTAAGAAACAAAAAAAACATATTGCAATTTTGAAGTCCGTCAAAAACTTAGTAGAAGACCTTTTTACGTAAGACCAAACGAACGGATAAAATATTTATATTGTCATATTGTATAGTAAAGTTATGTTCGCTTTATTGGCCGAAGTAGAAATTTCACATGTTACGCAAGATGCTCCACATTGTTAAAATTTATGCTAAGTAATTACTTATTTCATAAGTTAGAAATGTGGTTTATCATTGGCTTTTGTTAGGTCACATTTTATAAATGGTATAGTATAGATATAAAGGTTTAGTATAGATGTTTCCGAGATTAAATATTTTCCCGCAGTAAAAAGTATCCTATGTGTTGACCCGGATAACCAGCTATCATCATACCAAATTTCATCAAAATCTGTCCAGTGGTTTTCTCGTGATGCGCTCACAGACAGAGAGAAAGACAAAAATTCTAATAACTATAGATTCAGCCTCGGTATCGAGAATGACTCGAACCCAGGAATTCCGGGTATCTAACCATACATGTTAACCACCAGACCACTGCACTGAGGTAGTAAAAAAAGCACTTGTAATGTACTTATTAAATTAATAAGTGTATTATAAAAGTGTCAGTCCTACTTATACTAATAAAACATAGCCATAAATTATTACATTTACAATTGAAATAGAATAATTATTGAATGGTGTTTTTTTCACTTTTATTTATTTAAATTCATCGAACATTGTTATTTATAGAAAGCGTGCTTATAAAATAATAAGTGAATAACGCTTTTATATTACAGCGCCATCTGCTATCATATTTAAGAACTACGTGATAAATAAAAAAAACGAAACATAGATGTCGTATGACGTATAGTATTAAAATAAAATACGAAAATTGAACTAAAATTAAATTAATATGTTATTTTAAGTACAATTTCGCCAATTCAAACAATAATAAATAAAAAAGAATGATATTTAAAATTTCACAAAATCTAAAAGCTTTTGCTTTTAGAATAACTTATTTTAATGATTATTAATTTATACTATAACTAGCATTGCCCGCGGCTCCGCCCGCGTTCAGATGACCAAAAACTAAATTCTTAGGTGTTACATATTAGTATACTCTTACATTGCAGTTTTTGTATTTTTCCTCAGAAATAAGATATTTTCCCGCGGTAAAAAGTATCCTAGGATCGCGCGCTACATCGCCCGGTTTATATAGCTTGAGCAGGCGGTCGAGCGATGCGGGGCAGAGGGGATGGACTCGCCGTAGGCATCTCAATGCTCGCCAAGCATTAAAAATGTTTCGCTACTAATTACTTCTAACAACGATATCTCAAAAACTATTCATCTGATTGATTTAGTGTAAAGAGCAATTTTAATCTGCATTAAATGACTAAGCTAACTAAAATATTCATTTGGATAAGGATTAATACCGAACTAAAGAAAATAACTTTGAAAATAACGTAATGTTTTTAATTAAAAATGTTAACATAAAAGTGGTTATTGTAAGTCAACCGTAAGAGATAGAGATATGCTATCGCGGACTTTTTTGTAGCATTTTTATAGATTTTGAATTCTCTAGTACATTACTTAACTGTATCTTTGCTAGTTTACGCGGCGTTCGCGTGGAAAGTTCCCATTTGGCGAGATTTTTTGCGACCTCTTCAACATTTGTCGCCGTATTTCAGCTAATTTACATAAAAGCATAATAAATTATATACCTAAACCTTCCTCAAGAATTACTCTTTCTATTGTTGAAAACCGTATAAAAATCCGTTCAGTAGTTTTCGAGTTTATCGCGTACAGACAGACAGGAGGACAGACAGGAGGACAGAAAGACGCGGCCGGGGGACTTATTTTTATAATAAGTATAGATAGATACGAGTAATAATTAATAAGGTGGTCTGTATGAAGTTAAATTTCAACATACAATATACATACATAATTTTCTTATTTTTTTTATTGCGAGATTTATAATTAGTTACTGTATTTAAAGAATCACTTCGAAATAATATTAAAAATCAACGATATAAATCATAACATTAAAATATGATATATATTTATTAAGTATTAGAAAATAAAATAATAAACTAAAGATAAGATATACAATAAAGCAAAACAAAAAATTTGGGCTCGTCCGGGATTTGAACCCGGGACCTCTCGCACCCTAAGCGAAAATCATACCCCTAGACCAACGAGCCAACTGACTGTTATATTAAAATTTTGGAACGGTTTATTGCAACACGTAAGACCTACAATTTTCTAGTAAATGGTTTCGATGTATCTCTTAAGTGGTCTAAGGTTCAAGTCAGAGCTAGCCATGTCATCGTTTTCAAACACTTTTTTTAACAAAACACCGTCTACTCTTACAGTCATTTTGAACAAAATATTTACAAATTATATACACAAACCTATCTCATTTACCGCTCTTTCTGTTAGTGAAAACCGTTTCAAAACCCATTTCGTGGTTTAGAAGAAGTAAGCGGAGAAACAGACAAACGCGGAAAGCGATTTTGCTTAATACTTATATGTATTGAAGACAAAACCGATCAGTACCTTTTTTTCCATTGTTTAATTCCACAGATTTTCTTTTTTTTTTTGTTTAGTAACTATTGACGAGCTTTAGTTTTTTTTTCTTTTGTTAGCATTATTATTATTGTGTAGATATTATGTCAAAAATACGAGTATAATTAAATATTAAAACACAAATATTACTTAGGTAAAATTAGATATATCAATATTTTTAAATATTTTTATTCTTATATTATTTTAAATTTTAACAAATACGGGTTAGACCCTTTTGCACTCACTGTATAGGTACTGATAGTATGGCATTATAGATTCGAATTTTCCCATAGACATTGATTAAGAGATAGTTTCTTATTGACATTTTCTCTCATGTTACAATGAGATTGAATCATTTTACTTTACGTAATTACGAAATTAGCGCATGTGCATTCTATATGAGCAGTTGTAGATTTTATTTGTGCCTACATAGGTTTTTTTTTCTGAAATGATATTTTTTAAACGTGTTAATTTTTTCTATGACTATTATAATTATTATTGTGTCAACAATGTCATAGTGAAAAAGTTTAAATAAATTTATTTATTTTCTTTTTAAATAAAACTATCTTTTCGGATTATTTTGCGCATTTATTTTATATTAATATGTTTTGATTTTTGGTTCCCGACGTTTCCAATGCTATATAGCAATCATGGTCTTATGTCTCGTTGTTCCTGGTCTATGGTCGTATGGTTTGTTTTTTTTTTTAATTTATGACATCTCTTGAGTTAGAGTTGAGTGAGGTAGAGTTCAGAAAAAAAATTGATATCATAATTTTTGTATATAATTTTGTTTATTTAAGAATATACATAAGTTTACAATTTCTTTTGCTTGCTACAAAAAAAATAAACATTTTTAAATACATAAATAATAAAAATATATAAATGATTATTTTATTATTATTTTTTATAATAGTGTTATAATTTTTGAATAATTATAAGCGCCAGGTCTTCCCAGACTTCACAGATCTTTCCCAACTGATATAAAATCATGACTTTCAAAAAAATATAAATAAATTAAAAAAAAATGAATTTAATACAACGGTTAAAAATGTGGCATTTACATAAGGACAAAAAATTACACATTTTTTTTTAAATTTATTCGATATTTATTTTTAGGAGATAGGAGTTGATGCGCCGTTTTAACGTTTGCTGGAATGATGTGGGAGTTTTTCAAAGCGCACTGTCTAAACCTAACTCAGAGATAGCCAGAACTATAATCACTTTAAGTTAAGATAAGTTATAGAGGTTTTCAATAGTATTATAAGCGGTATACATGTATTGAGGGTTGATGAACGAACCATGAACGAACATGGAGGGAACGATGCGATTGACATTTAGCTTTGTTACTAAGAAGTCTCTAAATAAAAATAGACTAAAAAAAAATACATTTATTTTTTTAATAAAAACAAAAGGACTGGCCCTAGGAAATATGTAAGATTAATCTTAATAATTCATATTATCTAAATAATAAAATATGACGAACATATTCATAATTTTTTTAAATAACGTATTTTTAAAAGAAGAAAAATAGAATAAAATTACACGCAAAGACATTGTCAAAAGCTATATTAAAGCTTCATCTCCATAACGCCACCTCCAAAGAGTATCAACTTCACTTAAATGCTACTCTATAACTATCACTTCAGTACCTCTCGTACGAACGAGCAGACATCTTACATTATTTTATATTTAACTTTATTATTTTATTATAATAAATAAAAAATAAATAAATTTCTGTGTTATTGTGCTAAATGTGATATTTGTTGGTTAATTCGGATGTTAAATATATGTAAGTTTTTTTTGTTTTTATTCATTAATCGGCAAAGGTTTTGTAGTCCTATGTTAGTTCAGTTTTCGTTAAAATAAAAAAAAAATTATAATATATTATCTTGACTTAAGTTTTTTTAATCTACTTATATACGTTGACATTTGTTTTTTTTAATATACATTACTTTAATATGACTTTAATCATATTAGTTATTAGTTAATCCATAATTTAATAAGGAAGCTTATACCTACTATATTTTGTTTAGTTGTCGTTTTCTTTAAATATATG